CGTCCCGGCGGCTCAGCGTGACACCCTGCCCCTGCCTGACCAGACGAGATGCTGCTTGTCGGGCTCGGAGGAAAATTTAACAACTTATGCATTAGCAAGACAGTAAATTATTACCCCTCAATGACTGAAGCTGATATTTTTTAAACTTTTTTCATCTTCTAAATCCTAAATCCAGGTCATTTTACGTGTCAACCATCAAGCTCATTTTAATCTTCTTCTAGACGGACATTCACTTTCTTTTAAGGTATCACTACCACGGCTCTGAACTGGGTTTGCACCGCCAAAGGATTTGACCTTGGTTTCTATTTCAGTTACCGCGACATTGTTCTGGATGAGAACCTTTAGCCAGATAAATACCTCTCTGCAGGTCAACGGCTGTTCTCCTTCCCCTCTCTGTGTACCCAAAGCTCCACAGGCTGTAAAATCAGTTATAAACAGAGTTATAATGGTGGTGATAGGTATTACGGAAATACCCAGGATAGCTGCAGATGTAATCACAGAGTCAAATAATTCATGCTTTTATTTAATGCCTAATCATACATACCTCCACCATTATCTTGCTGTACAAATATTAAGACGGCAAGTGCAAGTGTGTGTGTCTGTGTAAAACAATGACATTCAGTGATAAGATCTTAGTGGGGGGGGGGGAAAGAAGCTGTGAGTTTTATGCTATTTTCAAACATTTAAATCTTTTCAGTCATTCCTAAACTAAGATTTTTAGTCTGACATAGAGAACCATCAAAAAAAACCTATGAAAATTAACCAGTCCAAGCACAAAATGACCTTGCCTACCATTACACAGCAATGATAATGAAAATAAGGATACTGAGTACTTATCAAAAATAAGTATTCATTCCAGATGAAAAACTAAGTGGACCATACTAAGAATCCTTAAATTTTAAAAGTAAGTTTGTTTACTTTTAAAAGTTCTCAAAAGTCCACAAAAGATCTACAGTATTTTATTAATATTTGGGAACAAAATTTTCTTTTGCTAGCAAAACAATCAGGCAGGCACAGGAAAAGTTAATCAAAATACCAAGGTGAAAAAGAAAAGGACTGCAGAAGCTTATTAATTTTTACAAATTTTTAAGAGCCAAGCACAACATTTTAAACTGTATGCCATCCAGTAGACTTACCGTGACATTGTAATTGATGCAGCCTATTTGCCACTAACCGTGAGAGAGGGACATCTGCTTATAAATTCACTTTGGAGACTACAAACACTTGGAGATTTCCAGAAGTCAAATTAAAGTTAAGAGGCATAATGATCTGGCAAGACTTTCCCAATCATTAAGTCACCGTCCGTCGTTCCTGAGACAAGCGGGTGTTCCCCAGCTGAACGCACCGGCAGCGCCCTGCCCGTTGCTGCCAGCCGAGCTTCCCAAAGGCTGCTCTAATTTGGGATGCTAATTATAAAGGGAGACTATTAAAGCCCAGGGTTTTCCCACTGACAGATGAGTTAGAGGGTCGAAGAAGCGCACCACGATGCACTTGCTGAACTGCTGCTCCTGAGCCGGCATATGGCAAATGTTTTCCAGTTACCAGTTCCAGTTTGAATTGAATAGCGTGGCTTTTTAAACCTGCACTACACAGTTCCAAAAAAGTCCTTTAAAACCAATTTCTGATCAGTGTGCCTGTTGGCACGTCATAGATTTTGGGGACGTTTCCACCATGACAGCAGTTTCTTTGTTCGGGGGGACTCTTGGGGCCATGTGAACACCAATGTGAATAGCTTTGGGTTTATTTTGGTTTTCTCTAGCAAATGCCACTGCAGGTCTCACTAAGTGAAACGATACCCAGCAGGCACTAATCAGCAGACCCTCGTGACAGGAGGCTGGCACCAGTTTGCCCTCTTTAAAGGAACCTGAGGAAACAGAGCAGGTATGAGAGGGGCTGGAGAATCATTTTGTATTTCGGCTCAAGCTCTTTCAGAGCATCAGCCCTGGTGAACCTGGACACCATGCAGCACAGCTGGGTTTCATTCTTTATTGTAATGCCAAAAACAGGTTTAAAGAAACTCAGAGAGCTTATTGAATGGTTTTTTGAGATGAAATCTTGCTTGTCAGACCTAGCCATAGCATCGACACCCCAGGCCCTCAGGGGGGCGAGGTGTGGGACAGGGTGGGATCGAACAGGGCTCATATATGGCCCATGGACCAGCAAAACCAGCCCCTGCCCTCGTTTGGCATCCTGCCCCTCTTGTACCACAGGAACTCAGCCCTCGGAGCAGTTTATTCAAACCCAGCAGAGTTGAGGGACTTAAACTTCTCCAGATTTGCTTCTCCTTCAGGTTTCTTTCACATCAAATTCTTCTGGTTAGCCAGCTCTGGGAACCATAACTCTTTTCTATTATCTACCTAAGTCTATGTATTTTTCCCCCATTAATTCACCTACTACCTTTGTGCTGAAACAATCCAGATATGATTTAATAAGCTTTGGAAAGATAGTATGAGTTCATATGCAGGAAATCAGATTTACATAATTTTCCACTCGCTTTTATAGCCACCGTAGTTCAAATTATCTTTACGTTGGGGAAACTCTTTTAATATGATAAAATGAAATACCACCTACACTCTGCTTCAGCTTGCTAGCCCGGTTTTTGTAATAAATTAAATGTTGATTTGTCATACTGATTTATCAGAGAAAGTTGCTTTTTAATGAGAAGAGACAAGAGCGTCCTGTCCTGCAGTTAGTCATGGTTATAAGTCACTAAACTAAGCTTCAAAAATCAAGCTTCATCTTGTAGGTTTTTTTATCACCTGCACCTTTCTGCATAGGGGGAAAAATGAATGATTTTTGGTTTTATCACATATGCTGTGCCAAATAAAATGTCGTATGTTGAAAATGGACCTGGTAGCACACGGCACAAAGGAAAAGGGACGTTTATGTTTCAGTATTCAGAGTGAACAAGACTTGAAATTCAGGAGACTGCATCCTGCAAAAGCAAACAGGATTTGGTGAAACTCCCAGGTTTACTTTATTTTTTTTTGGGCGACTGCTGTAGTCTCTCCTACTCCTCCAGCCAGGCTGCGATTTTAGTGAAATCCCCTCTCTTGTTTTATTAGCGTTGTTCATCTTGGGAGGGGGAGGGCTTTCCGTGCAAGCCAGACACTGGGTACCGACCCCACCGAGTGAGATCCTGCTCTCCTCCCTGGGCTCCATCCTGCCCACACCCTCCCGGCCATGCCAGAGGCACGGCTCGCGCCTGCCATTAGGGATGCTTCACTTCTCCTCCTCTTCTCTGCCCAAAAGGGAAGCACGTGAGGATTTGGTGAGGAGTGCTTACTCAGAAGCACTGCACGCGCCATACCCTGATGTCTCCCTGCCAGAGGTGGACTTGGCACTGGCAAGGGACAGCGGTGCTGTCAGAGGCAGCTCACTCCTGGGCAAGGTGGCGGGACAAGCTTTGACTTGGCCCCGGGAAAACTGTCTTCTGCACCGTTGGTACCTGTTCTGTGTGGCCGTCTCCCACATACCTGCAGAGTAGAGTTGTTGGCTGAAGTCTCATCTTCAGACCATCTCTTGGTGTTCCCAGTGCAGATAGCCCTGTGACTTGAGGACGGCAATGTAATGGGGTGAAAGGAGAGACCTCAAGGAAGAGGCAGGATCCTCCACATGGTATCCAACCCCGTACCAACCCAAGGCTCCCAGGCAGCCTCTCCTCTTCGCTCAAACACGGCTTGTGTGTTTTTCCACAGTAGGCACCTTAGTGGTTTCTCCCTTTGGTAGCTCAGCCTTTGGGTTGAGCATCGCCAGCTCACTCAAGATGGGTCATCAGGAATGCGCTTGGAAATGTCTGTTCCCCTTCTGCCTTTCCGACACTTCTGTCCTCTGAGAGGAAAAAGCCTTGAGCGTCAGGATGTGGGCACCAAGCTGGCTCAGCCTTGCTCAGCATCCACCAGCTAATCTCCACCTGTGCTTCTGGCAGACACTGGGTCAATCTAGTTAAAAAAGCAAATTCTGCAACTTGTATCTAAATAAAGTGCCATTGACATAAGCAACACCTGCTTGTAGAAATGGTACTCGATACAAGACTTGCACAGATTTTATGTTTTAGAATAATCTATAGTACATTCATATAGTCTGGAAAGCAAAGCTTTTGGTACCAGTGTTCAATCAAAGAGAACAGGGTGCTGTGTACAACTATAAGAGGTCAGGGCTTGATGGATCATATCACAAAAAATATTTGATTTGAGAGAAATTTTGTACAGAAATCTGCTGGCCAAAGTGAGCCTGCAGCGTTTATTTAGCAGCCGAACATCCCAATAGCATCATCCTGATAGCCTCGGCTCAGAGCAGGGTGAGGTAACAGGTCCTTTTCCTTCCTCCTGCCTGTGGCTTTACAAGACCGAAATCATCATTTTCTGCCCAGGTCCGTTCCCGTGCCGCAGTCAGGAAAGCCTGCGGGCAGCCCGCTCCGACGGCTACAAATGATTGCCTCCTCACTTGTTTCTCAACACTGTTTTCTATTTTAACTCTCTTTGCAGGCACTTACTGTAATATTTACTTAGGAATTTGAGAAAGACTTTGTATTAAAGCAAGTAAATACAGTTTCTTCAAAGAGACTGAAAATAAATATGAATGTCTTTGGCTAAGCAAAATCGTCAAACTTTGTCTTCTAAAGTTAGGCAGAAAATGAGTTGTTTTCCAACAGAGCTAGATATATTCACCTTTCATTGATTTCAGCGGAGATCCTAATGCTCAGTAACTTAAAACCAGATCAATTATTCAGAAGTTTAAGCATGAAGTGCTCATCTGATGTTAAGTATTCACATTTTTAAATGCTTGCCTCAATAACGATTTATTCTCTTCAAAACAAAAAGAAATATTCACTGAGCGATGCAGCAGGAGGGCTTGGCTACTTTGGCAGCATTCTCTCCAGTTTTCAGAAGAATGCTTTTGCTGCCCTAACAGTTATCCTAGAAGAATTAACGAAAACTAAGAATTTGGGGGTCTAAGAGTGGAAATTTTCACTTAACTCCTTTTTCTTCTCTTTTCAGCTCCCAGTACAGCCCAGTACGGGATCACTGGTGACGCCGAAGTCCTCTTCTCCTGCTGGTACCTTGTGTTGACACTGTCCTCCCTCACCAGCATATTCTACCTGAAGAACATCATTCTGCACTAAATGTAAAGACCCATAAAAGGCTTTTAAGGATTCTCTGAAAGTGCTGATGACTGGATCCAATCTGGTAGAGTTTGTTAAAAGCAGCGTGGGATATAATCAGCAGTGCTTACATGGGGATGATCGCCTTCTGTAGAATTGCTCATTATGTAAATACTTTAATTCTACTCCTTTTTTTGATTAGCTGCATTACCTTGTGAAGCAGTACACATTGTCCTTTTTTAAGACGTGAAAGCTCTGAAATTACTTTTAGACGATATTAATTGTGATTTCATGTTTGTAATCTACAAGTTTTCAAAAGCATTCAGTCATGGTCTGCCGAGTTGCAGACCATAGTTTACAAAAAAAAAAAAAATATTGCAGTAAAAATGTGCTTCTTTAAGGCTGCAATACAATATTCAGTTCCCTTCTTAAATAGCATTCTATCCACATTTACACAGAAACATTTTTCTTTTTTTTGATAAAAAAAATTAATCAAATAATATTGCCTTCAAAATATTTCTTCAAAATATTACACATATCTAGATTTTCTTCTAGCATGATATTCAGGTTTCAAGAATGAGCCTTGTACTATAACTGCATTGTGCAGTACTGCTTTCTGTTTTCTTTCCTCTTTCCTGCAAATTCAGCATGGGTGTGCCTTCATAAAACACTACTTTCCTCTTCCTTTCCAACAAATCTGGAATGTGTTTTGGGAAACGCTAAAGCATCCTTTTGAGCATAAGAAATCTCCAGTCGAGACAAAGGTGCTATTGGCTAAAAGGAAAGCCTCCTCTCCCATCGCCAGGGCGTCATCGAACTGCTTCAGCCTGAACATTTTTAGGCAATCGGTCAAGGATAGCACCAACTCCTTTTTATGTTTTCCATCTACCACCACTAACCAGTAGGTGATCTCTGTAAAAACTAGTTTTCCCGTTACAAAACAGAATGCAAATTATTTTGAGATATCTTTTGAATGTAGGAACGTTTCCCTTAGTCATTCTAAATCAAAATTCCTAAATGGCTGTAAATGTGAGAAGCTGACTAGTCCCTTTTGTATTACTGGCAAAAACTACATGAATTGGTATTTTTCTTGCACTTAATTTTGTACTGGTTTGGCTAATTTAGCAATGATAAAGGATGCTTTTAAATATTAGATATCTGAAAATACATTAAGTATCAAGCAGAATTTTATATATATACATATATATATATAAAATACATATATATATTAAAACGAGGTTGCTCCAATAACTGTACTGAAGTGCATGTTGCCGTCCATGATAGAATCATCTTTACAGTCAGGACTTCACTACCGTTCTACTAACACTATACAAATATCCTACCACAGCAGTTAAGTCCTCACACACAACTTCCTAGTACTGCAGTCTATCAAGATAGTACTTTCATTTCACTCAGTGAAGGATCAAGTTTCAAAATAGCATATAATGCTACTAACTTTTTTTTTTTTTTGTAAACAGCCTGGACAGCATTAACACAAAATGTTGCTCGCAGTTTACAGCTGAATTTTAAAATGTCATCTGTGTAAATTGGTGGGGCATGACTATGGCCAACAGCCCTTGAATGCAAGATCTCCCGGTGACCCCAACAGATCTTGACTTGCTTACAAAACAACTATAGATGACCACAATAATAAAACCATTATCAACGTTATTATTCCCCTGTTTTGTATATGAACTCCAGTAGACGACACAATTACTATGCTACAGCATTTTTTCTCCTTACAACAGGTTTTTGTAGTGAGCAATACCAGGTGAGCACTGTGCATACTCAGCAGTTCCAAATTGGGTTTACAGATACCCCTGGTTTTGAAAAGCAGTCTCTGAGTTTCACTAGTCTCAATATATACTATCCCACGCTTACATGTAGACAGAATATGCAGTGAATCTGTTGTAGGTACTGATAAACTCAGCCCCAGGGTATAAACGGAACTATGTTGACTCCAAAATATGGCAATAAAATGTCCTGGGTCACTCTGCGTATGTTCGGTGACAGATCGTACTATTCCTATCGTATTATTTACAGCCGTATGCTAAGCAGTTACTCTTTTCAGAAATGTGGCATTTTTTAAAACCTTGAATAACATGACAAAATTCATTCTTTAGGAAATAGTGTAAACTCAATTCAAATTATACTATACACAGTCCTGATATTCTGATCTCTCTTGTATTGCAGCTTTAAAGTGCTATATTTTAGAATCCATTCGCTAGAAACAGTGGTGCTGCAGAAAGTGTCATGTCAGTACAGTTTTATGAAGAAAAAAGGATATGCATAGCCCAACTCGTATGCCTCGTCTCCCATAAAATTGAGAGATGTTTCTATACTGTGGCTGGATCAAATTATATATTTTGATGATATATTTCATTTCAGTGATTCCTGATTTCTGGATCCTGAAATTTCCAGCAACAGAATAGAATGAACAGCAGCTTTATTAAATACGAAAAAAAAAAACCACCGACATAAACGAAGTATTGACTGTTTGCATTCATACCAGGTAGAGCCATTGGATAACACGGACAAGATACTTAGTCCCATCTCTGAATTTTCACTTAAATTAGGGGGGGACTTAATTATTGTCATGTCCAAAAAGAAAAAAAAAAAAAAAGAAAACCGACAAATGTTTCTTGGTGCCGATGGCGTTCCCTTAGACGAAATAGGTATTTAATATCAGTCAGACCTGCGTGCTCAGCAGCGGGCGGGCGGGCGTGCGTGCGAAGGGCCGTGCGAGGCGTGCTGGGGCTGTGCCCAGGCTGCCCGGTGTCCGTAGGGTCGGTCCCCCGAAGGCTGCTCATCAGGCTCTGCCCTGCTCAGCCCTCCACTCCTACAAAGAGATACAGCCGTGCTTAACTTTATGCACCGATTAATCCAACAGACATAGCACGTATAGCCAAACAACCTTAATTTTTGCAGGATTGGAGCTGTAGGCGGTGTTGATCAAATAAAGAAACTTGGTTCTTGGCGAATCTGTTCCATGCGGTAAACTGGTAATTGTACAGATTGGGACTCATTGGGGCGTTCTTCCAAAACGGACAGTGCAGACTGCTGCCAATTGAACACAACCACATTTTACGAAATCTACCCGCCCTGTAATTTGTGGGGTGTATTTGCTTTAGGCAACTGTTTGAAGGTACGTTCTATGCTTCTTCAAAGGATTAACCCATACTGTTCATATCTGTCGGGCAAATATTATTATATTTATTCCCACCTTTCAAATGTGAAAAATAAATGGCTTAGCTCCGAGCACTATAACTGAATATTTATATCAAGATTGTTGTCCATATTGGAAACCCCAAAGTCTGTAACACCGTAAGTTCCTACTTGTGCAATAACTCAGGTCTGCAATTACCACTGCATCGGTGACATACATAGAAGCGATGATGCTCTAATTATACAGTTGCTGATCGTGATATTATACTAATACTGAATTAAAGGATGTCTCACAACTTCTTGAACAAATGCAGTTTCTCAAGGGTTTATATCTTGGCAGGAAATGTATCCTTCATAGCTAGACAGCTTTTTTTAAACTTTTCAATATATATATTTTTTTTAGAAAGTATGCTGTTTTTAAGATACAGGAGTGTTAAAAAACGTCACCAGTAAAAGCTGCTTTTTTGCACAATTTCAGAGCTAGCGTTCTAGACAAACAATGGTAAATGTTATGCCTACCAAAATCTTCGCTTAGTCCACGTAACTGTGTTATAAAGAATGTGTATACCAAAATATGTATTTACATTGATAAACAATATGCCTTAAAGACTAAATATGCATTTACTTCTAAGACTGGATCATACTTGTGCCCAGTCTGGAGGTAAATAATCCATATTTCATAGCCGGCCATGGAAGGTTTTGTTTCTTTGGAGAAAAAAGAAAAAGGAAAAAAAAAAATGTTTCTTTTAGAAGAATCTTAAGTAATTTTAAAATTCTTGCATAAGCTGACATATGTGAGGAAGTTTAGGAAAAGGATAAATTTTAGCCTGACACTTTAGCCATGGCAAGGCATTGCCTCGCTCCCGGGGTTCGCTGTGGGGGCCGGCAGCTCCACGGTGCTGCCAAAGGCTCGTCCCCTCCCCTGCCACATCCCCTGCCCCGTCCCCTCGTACGCTTTACTCCCTCGGGTGGCCCTGGGCCAGGGCAGAGTGAGGTGCCCGGGTGCCCCCTCCTCCCGTATCGCTGCGGGAAGAGGGACGCCACACCCACGCCCCCCCGGCCACACAACTGCTCGCAACAGAAAATTCTTTAAAACACAAAAATGTAAAAAAAAAAAATTAAAAAACAGGATTTAAAAATTATCCATTCAGCCTTAATATTGAGAGCAGATACACAAGTGTTGACATCGAGGGGAGGAATTTACTTCCAATTTGACCGACCTTAAGCACTGCCGTTGTACGCGCAGGGATGCTGCAAACACGCTTGGTCTGGGTTGGCTCTGGGTTTCAGTCCTGGTTTCTGTTTCTCTGCCGAGCATTGAGGGCAAGGGAGGGAATTTATTCTGTGATCAGAAAAGTCCGTAACGTAACTGAAAACAGCCAGATCAAGGTGATGGCAGAAGGGTCTCTGGAAAATTTGGAAGGGATTTTCAATAAATCCTGCTCCAAAAATTTTGTATCAGCAAGGGCAGGGAGATTTTTACCAGGGCACCTTCAGCGCTGAGCACATACCTACTAGTTCCTATCACTTTCTGCCCACTTTATGCCTAATTCATGAAGAGCTCAAAGGTTCCTTTATATTAGAAAATTCCCATGTTAAAAAAAATGCAGAGATCAGCATATTTGCCACCTCCCATAAACTTAGTTTTCAGTCATTTATATTTTAGAGCATATTAAGCTTTCCCATCGCCTGGTAGGATGTAAATCTGCATTACAGGACAAGCTGGGGGGTCAATTCCCACCGTCCTCCGGCTGCTTGGTTCTTGTCCTAAGCGGAGCTGCGGTGAGGCCGTCGGGTCTCTGTAGGGGAAGGCTCCCGCGCCGGGGGGTGCTGCTGAATGATGCATAGTGGTCATCAGTCCCTCTGCATCACCTACATGCTGATGGCTCCGTAACTCTGGGCTGCCAGAGTTATCCCTGAGGGTTTGCTTTAATTTATGCCAACAGCCATCCTGGTGACTGCAGACATGCAGGAGGGACCTCCTCCTTTGTTCTCACTCCACATGTGCCCGGGTAGAGCAGAGGGCTCAGCTCTCTCAAGCAATGATGAACTTTGAACCCACCCACAAATAGCGATGAAAAATAGCACAGCTGAAAGTCAATTTACTTGCAGGCCCTTCCATTGCCTCAGCCCCCGGGCAGCTGGGCAGCAGGTAAACCTTAGTCCCCATTAGCAGAATAAATTACTTTTGTGCAGTGAGCCAGAATTTAAAGATGGGGGAGGAGGAGTCAGTACGGTGCTGCCTTGGCCACTGCAGCCACAGGAATGTCCTCTCTTATCTGCCAAATATGAAAGTACACATTATTCCTCCACTACCCTTTTTTTTCTTTCATGCTGCCAGATAAAAAATGCCCATAATGATGATATATA